AAAAAAAAAAAAAAAAAAAAACCTTCACAAACACACACAAATTATCAAAGTAATTATGTTTGTAAATGCATGAGCACTCTGCCCTCACATTGAATATATTTGAAATGCAGAGAAAAAGATTTGGAATGACCCATCCCAAACTGTTTTTTTAATTGGAGTCTCACTCTGTCACCAGGCTGGAGTGCAGTGGCATGATCATGACTACTGCAGCCTTGAACTCCTGGGCTCAAGCAACCCTTGCACCTCAGTCTCCCAAGTAGCTAGGACTAAGGCATGTACCGCCACACCCAGCTAATTTTTAAATTTATTGTAGAGACAAGGTCTCACTACATTGCCCAGGTTGATCTCAAACCCCTGGACTCAAACAGTCTCTCACCTCTACTTCCCAAAGTGCTGGGATTACAGGCATGGGCCACCACACCCAGTGAGGTATATTTTTTATATTAAACACACCATAATTAGAAGCAAAGGAAGAATTGGGGAAGTATTTGTAATATACCACTTCTTCAATTCTAAGATGCAGTTTGCCTTGCGTCTGCCTACTACCTGCCAAATAAACCAACCAACCCAACAACTGGTGGTTTTTATCACAATTGAGGAATAGAGATATTAGAGAAAAGGGATTTGAGCCCTTAACATATAGAGGTCTTACATACCCAATAAAAATAGTTACAAAGCTTACATGGAATTCACCCACCAAAAGGCAAAAAATGGAAATTAAAATAAGACTTTTTTTTATAACTAATAAAATGCTTAAAGCAACAGTTCCTCCCCATCCCTAGTACTTATTAATTTTTTTGAGTATGAGATCTTGCTCTGTCACCCAGGCTGGAGTGCAGTGGCACAATCATAGCTCACTGCAGCAATGAACTCCTGAGCTCAAGCAATACTCCTGCCTCAGCCTCCTAAGTAGCTAGGACTATAGGTACGAACCACCATACCTACCTAATTTTTTACAACATTTTTTGTATAGGCAAGGTCTTGCTATATTTCCCAGGCTAGTCTTGAACTCCTAGGCTCAAGCAATCCTTCTGCCTCAGCCTCCCAAAGTGCTAGGATTGCAGGTGTGCGCCATTGCACTCAGCCCATCCTCAGTCCTTTTGACCTGGAAAGTCCACCTCCAACTCCAAGGAGGTCCTCATCGACATATCTGCTGTGTTCAACATTTTTTTTCTTTGAGTTGGAGTCTCACTCTGTCGCCCAGGCTGGAGTGCAGTGGCAACACTCACAGCCACCGCAGCCGTGACCTACTGGGCTTAGCTGATCCTTCTGTTTCAGCCGTCCAAGTAGATGGAACTACAGGCACGTGCCATCACACCCAGCTAATTTTTTGACAGATCTTAATAACAAATGAATGGTCAGCAAACCTACAACATACTGATTTATTGTAAAGATGTGGTCTTGCCATGTTGACCAGGTTGGTCTCAAACCCATAGGCTCAGGCAATCCTCTCACCTTGGCCTCTCAAAGTGCTGGGCTTATAGGCGTGAGCCACCGCGCCCGGGCTGTGTTCAACTATTATAGTGAAAATGTGGAAGAAAGCTCTGGCAATAGGGGAACTATTAAATAAATCATAGTTCACATAAGATGGGAGAGATACTGTGGGCTGCTAACCAATAAGTAGGGACAAAATTCTAAGCAAAGTATAAGTTCAATTATGTAAAATAAATATCTGTATATCTGCATTAGAGACCATGAAAACATAGCAAGATATCAATACTGGCTGTCTCTGGAGGATGAGATAAAGAACAATTTTTTACATAATTAAAATAAGTTTCTGCATTTTCCAGATGTTCTATAGTAATTTTATATTTGAGTCAGGTACATGGCTCATGCCTGTAATCCCAGCACTTTGAGAGGCAAAGGCAAGAGGATTGCCTGGGCCTAAGGGTTCAAGATCAGCCTGGACAACTTGGTGAGACCTTGTTTTTCTATAATAAATCAAATAAATTAGCTGGGTGTGGTGGTATGCACACCTCTAATTCTAGAAGGCTGAAGCAGAGGGATCACTTGAGCCCAGCAGGTTGAGGTTGCAGTAGCTGGGAGCATGCCACTGCATTCCAGTCAGGGTGACAGAGTGAGACTCTGATGCAAAAAAAAAAATTATATTTAGAAAAAGATATGTTAGACCAGGTGTGGTGGCTCAGTCCGTAATCCCAACACTTTGGGAGGCCAAGGCAAGAGGATTGCCTGAGACCAGGGGTTTGAGACCAGCCTGGGCAACTTGGTGAGACCTCGCCTCTACAATAAATCACAAAATTAGCCAGGTGTGGTAGCACGCACCTGTAGTTCCAGCTACTTGGAAGGCTGAGGGGGAAGGATCGCCGGAGACCAGTGAGTCGAGGCTGCGGTGGCCGGGAGCGGCCACTGCACTCCAGTCTGGGCGACAGGGTGAGACTCCAACTCAAAAGAGAAAAAAAAAAGAAAAAGACTTGTTAATTAAAAGATACACATCTATGGGCCAGGCCCTTAACTGAGTTCCAGGATGGCAGCTTCCTTCCTAGCACACGTTTTTAAGGCGCCAAGGAAGCCTGTAGCTTTCTTGGGCTTCCTTGGGCGAGGGCTGATGGTGAGGAACGGTCACTAAGACTTCCTCACTTGCCAACAGGCCCTCAGGGGCTTCTCCCCAGAGGTTTTGAGGGGCCCACTGGGAGGCTTCTCCACAGTGAGATCCTTCTGTGGACAGGCCCAGTGAAGGCAAGTCCCTGCCACCACCCAGACTGGTGGGGGTTCTTGAGGTGCTACCAGGGAGTTCTCCTAGCTCAGGCCAGGTTAGAGGGGGCTCCTGCAGAGTCCACTTCAAGTCCAGGACTCTGCCCCGAGCTCTTGTGCGCCCTCGGCCCACTCATCCAGATGTCACCATGCCACCTCCACCTGAGGGGCTGTGCTCCTAGCCCTTCAAACAGAGTCTGATCTCCTTGACAGATCTTAATAACAAATGAATGGTTAATAAACCCTCAACTTTTTTTTTCTAATCAGGAGTCAAAATTTGGAAAAGAAATGAGTGCAAAAGGGAAAACAAAACAAAAACACCCACAATCTCCACTTGGTTTGCTGGAGCTTGTACGTGCAACAGAAACAGACGTATTTGGGTTTAGAAATGCTGCTATTGGCCGGGCTCAGTGGCTCAGTCTGTAATCCCAGCACTTTGGGAGGCCGAGGCGAGTGAGCCTACGGGTTTGAGATCAGCCAGGCAACTTGGTGAGATCTCATCTCTACAATAAATAAAAAATTAGCCAGGCATGGTAGCATGTGCCTATAGTCTGGCTACTTGGAAGGCTGAGGCGGAAGGATAGCCTGGGCCCAGCAGGTCAACGCTGGGGTGGCCGTGAGCTTGCATGTTACTGTACTACTGCCTGGACGACAGAGTGAGACTCCAACTCAAAAAAAAAAAAAAAGAAAGAAAAAGAAAAAGAAATGCTGCTATCCCAGGCTCACTGTCCTGCTGTCTGCTGCTCCTTTCTCCTCTTCTGCCCTTTATGTTTGATCTTGCTCTTTATAAAGACACTCTCTGGCCCTGGCCCTGGCCCCTTCCTTTGCAGCACCCTCAGGATGTGGATTCTGGCTTTCTGCGCTGGGACCCCTCAAGGTGACTGGACCTCCAGCTTGGAACCTCAGCATGTCGTCAGCGGGGTGCCGGCCCGCCGTCTCCGACCCCCCGGCCGCGGCCCTGCACTTTCTGGTGCTGGATGAAGGCAGACAGCCGGCTACAGGCCCTCCCGCAGGCCCAGCACCGTTACAGCCTCTCACCGCTGTGGAGCCGGTAGTGCTTGTTCAGCGTGTAGCTCCTGCCGAAGGCCTTGCCGCACTCGGTGCATGCGAAGGGCTTCTCCTTGGTGTGGATCTTCTGGTGCAGCGTGAGGTTGGACTTGCGACTGAAGGCCTTGCCGCACTGCACGCACTCGAATGGCTTCTCGCCGGTGTGCAGCCGCAGGTGCAGGAGCAGCAGGGAGTTGTGTCTGAAGGGCTTCCCGCACACGGAGCACTCGTGGGGCTGGTTCCCCACGTGCGCCCTCTGCGCCGCACCCAGCACGACACTCTGCCCCGCGTTGCTGTCCTGGGGGCCCTCCCTGGGGTGCCGCCGGCGGTGCCTCAGGAGAGTGGACCCTCGGATGAAGCGCTGCCCACAGCGCTGGCACCGGTAGGGCTTCTCCCCGCTGTGGATGCGGCTGTGCTCCTTGAGGGTGAACAAGCGACAGAAGGCCTTGCCGCACTCGTCGCACTCGTAGGCCTTCTCCCCGGTGTGGAACTTCTGGTGCTGCAGCAGCTGCGAGCTGCGGCTGAAGGCCTTGCCGCATTCTCCGCACGTGTAGGGCCGCTCGCGGGTATGGACGCGGTGGTGGGCCGCCAGCTGCGTGCTCTGTCGGAAGGCCCTGCCGCATTCGCCGCACTGGAAGGGCTTCTCCTCGGTGTGGATCAGCTGGTGCCGCAGCAGGATGGAGCTCTGCTTGAAGGCCTTCCCGCACTCGGTGCACTGGAAGGGCTTGGCGCCCGTGTGGATGATCTGGTGCCTGAGCAACTGCGAGTTGAACTTGAACGTCTTGCCGCAAGTACACCTGTACCTGCTCTGCCCGGGAGCTGAGCTCCTTGCAAGCTTGCCTCGGGTTTCCTGCAGAGCCCCGGGAGAGGTGCTGCTACACTCCCGAGGAGGAGGAGATTGTTTATCTGATCCGTGCTCCGGACTGCCTTGCAGATCAGGTAGCGAGGGGTCCTCCCCCAGGAGGCACCCCCAAGCCCTGCCCGACAGTCCTGCCTGCCTAGAGAGGTCACTCTTCGGAGGAGACTCCGAGATTCCAGCCTCCATCCTGGAATCTGAGAGAATGAACAGAAAACGGAAGGATAATCTAGCCTCTACACTCACAAATGGAACTTCAGATTTGAGAACAATGTTTCTTTCCCCCTCAATTTTTCCTCCCCCAGTCTTACTGAGGTATTCATCATAAATAAAGACTGGGTGCGGTGGCTCACACCTATAATCCCAGCACTTTGGGAGGCAGAGACAAGAGGATTGCCTGAGTCCGTGGGTTTGAGACCAACCTGGGCAACATGGCAAGAACTCATCTCTACAATAAATCAAAAAATTAGCCATGCTTGGTGATGCATGTCTGTAGTTCCAGTTACTTGGAAGGCTGAGGCAGAAGAATCGCCTGAGCCCAGCACGTTGAGGCTGTGGTGGCTGTGAGAATGCCACTGCACTCCAGTCTGGGAGATAGAGTGAGACTCTGACTCAAATAAATAAATAAAATTTGTATATATTCAAGGTACACAATGTGATAATTTAATATTCATCTACATGGTAAAATGATTATCGCAATCAAGTGAAGACAGATTTTATGTCAGAGTACATGTAGGGAGGTTTGAGAAATTCTTGCAGGAAGTTTTAAAATTAGGATTCAGGCCAGGCACAGTGGCTCACGCCTATAATTCCGGCACTTTGGGAAGCCGAGGTGAGATGACTGCTTGAGCCCACAGGTTCAAGACCAGTCTGGGCAACTTGGTGAGACCTCATCTCTACAGTAAATCAAAAAATTAGCCATGGTGGCACACATGTGTAGTTCCAGCTACTTGGGAGGCTGAGGCAGAAGGATCACCTGAGCCCAGAAAAAAAAAATTAGGGTTCAGGTGCGAAGGAGGCACAAAAAGGAAGGCTACTAAAGGCTTAAGCACTGTGGGAGGCTGGGTCAGGTGGGGAGCTCACTAGGGAGACCCAAGGCCTGCAAGAAAGGCAAACCAGGCATAGGATGCAGGGTGCACCCTTTTCTCCCCACGGCCACATTCTTTTTTTTTTTTTTGAGTTGGAGTCT